ACCGCAGAGGACTGAGGAATTGTTCTGTCAGCAATGCCATTAAGGACATCAGAAAACGACTGAATAGGATCTTCACTGTTCTTAAAACGATCATGAGTTAATTGTTCAGCACACAGAGTCTCATATAATGACCAGTCAGCCCTGGCAAAGTTCCTTCTCGATAAAAGTGGATCATCACCAGGGTTCATCACCAGGGTTGACTGTTTTGAGAATGGTGGGGAAGTGATCACTCCCACACAGATCATCATTGACCATCCATTCGAATTCATTATACAAGGTTGAATCGGTGAGTGATAAATCCAGGGAAGAATATGTTCCCGTAGCTGGATGCAGATAAGTGGCTGAGTCGTCGTTGAAAATACATAAATTGTTATCGGAAATGAATTCTTCAAGGATTTTACCTTTGGTATTAATATGAGCATTTCCCCAAAGCGGGTTGTGTCCATTTAGATCGCCCATGATGAGACATGGCTGCGGAAGTTGATCAAATAGATTTTGAAGATCGGACTTTTGAATATTGGAAGAAGGAGGAATGTACAAGCTGCACAATGTCAGAGCAATGTGTAGGGTCAGACGAACAGCAACAACTTGAAGATCTGTATTTAGAGTGACAGGGATATGAATGACACTCTGATGTACCAAAATAGAAGCGCCTCCAGTAGCTTTATCGCCTGGAGGGGAAAAAGAATGATAATCATTATACCGTCTTAAGTTAAAGTTACCAGTATTTTTAAGATAGGTCTCCTGGAGACACAATGCTGACGGTTGAAGATCTTGTATAAGTAATTGTATTTCATTGAAGTTATTCTTCAGTCCTCTGCAATTCCACTGAAGTAGATTGGTCAAGTGATTCATGGTGGCTTAATTTGAGTGAGTCCACGTGAATGTGAGGAGGAACTATTCCCCCGCCTGTCCTGTGAGGACAGAGTAACCTCCATATCTAGAGGTGCAAATGTTTTCTGTGTTAAAAACCTCATGAGATGAAGAGACAATAGGTTGTTTGTCTCTATTTAATCTCTTTCCTTTCTTCTGTTTTGAAGTTTCAGTGACTGGTTTAGAAACAGACGTTTCAGCTTGATGCTCATTGTGATTTTCTGTTTGAGAAGCAGACGTAGAGTGTGTGACTTTCGGAATACTCTGAAGGGCTGAAGCAGAAGGAATAGGTTTAGGTGATGTAACCCATGACAAGTCAGTCTGACAGGACACGGAGGAGGTTGCTACAGAGCGGGTGACTGCAGCAGAGTAGGTCAGATTTGATGGAGTCTGAGTTGGTGGAGTCAACAGTTTCTTTGCCTCAAGGTATGAAATATTGTTTTGGCATTTGATTTTCAATATCTGTGATTCCCGTTGATACACGGGACAGGACATTGATGAGGCAGAATGAGGACCATTACAGTTGGCGCACTTATATTCTTGCTCACAGTCAGAACCATCATGTCGATCACCACAACGATGGCAGACTGAGGAGTTGCGACAGGATTGCGAGCCATGCCCGAAATGTTGACATTTAAAACAACGGAGTGGATTTGGGACATACACATCCACCCCGATGTTGAAATAACCAGCTTTGATAGACTTTGGTAGAGATGATCGGTCAAAAGTCAGTAGATACGTGTTAGTTTTCACAATAATGCCTTCTTTCTTAATTGTGAAACGTTTCACTGCAGATACACCTTGATCTGCCAACTCTGAAGCAATGTCCTCCTCTGACATATCAGCGAGACAACGTGCTCTGTCTCGGATAATGCCACGACAAGAGTTTAGCGTCCTGTGCGCAGATACAGCAACCTCTATGTTTGCAAATGTCTTGATCGACAACAGATTGACAGATTGCTGCTCCCGTGCACACTCGACAAGAAGCGAGCCACTACGGAGACGGGTAACATTTGTAACTTCTCCACAAATTCCGGAGATGGCCTTTGAAATTGCAAAGGGATTAAGTTTAAGTGGAAGAAAGTCCGAAGCCTCAATAACAAGAAATCTAGCCCATGAGTCACTGTTAGAAGACACATGTCCAGTAGAGAGATCTAATTCTTCTAAGCGTCTCTTTTTTTCATTTCTAGTAGAACCAGATAGTGGAAGTGCCATGATGAAAGGAAAATATTCAGCACCCTGCTCCCCACCCACCACGGAGTGTCAACAAGGACAGTGCCAAATAGCACCGGATATCCAAGATGCCGACACCAGGGATACAGGGTGTTATACTCCAGAGAAAACAACACAAATAGCTGCATTTGTCTACCAATTACATGCCCGACTGGTTCGGCCCAAGACAAGAAATTAGAGACATGCATCATTTGGCGGTCATTATCACCAGATTGGCCCATGAGCCACCGCCTTCTGGCATAGGACTCTAGGCAAATGTATATAATACTATAATTCGGGAAATGCAACATTCGATATCAACATTATGTAAATGTACATTAACATAAATTTGAATGTTGTCCATGCACAGGGCATGGCGTGACCAGCCGATTGGTAGAACCGGGCCAGTTCTACCACCCGTCTAGGTGAAGTCAGGGCCAAAGTGGTGTGTTGGGCAAAAGGAACACGGTTCCAGGAACCTATTGCCCTCAACCACCAGAATCCCGTCCTCCACCGACACAGGGGCGCAACCCACGGCAAACGGGTTGGTGGACCAAAATATCCCCCCTGGGTCCACAACGGGGGGTTGAAGGGCGCTTAGCGTGACCCAGCACCCACCACGAGGAGGTGGCCCTTCATGGGTGCCACAATATAAATAAGAATTTAATCAATTAAAAAGTAAATACAATACATATAAATCCTTATTCACTGATGGATCCAAGGATGGTGGTGCAGTGGCTTGTGCCACTGTCATTGGGTCCAAAAGAATATCTTCCCGATTACCCAATGACAGTTCAATTTCACAGCAGAAGCAACACAATTCTAACAGCTCTTAAATATATAAATACACGCACTAAATATACACAATATATCATATTTTCAGATTCTCTTTCTTGCCTTCAGGCTATAAAAATCTTTCGTGTAAACATCCACTTTTAATCGAAATAATTGAGTTATATAATGATCTTGCCACTGGCCAATACGACATAGTTCTTTGTTGGTTACAAAGCCACGTAATCTATACCTTGTTTTAGTCACGATATGGCTTAAATATGGCCCGTATGACTTAAAATCTTAACTCACCCATCCCCAATCTACTGTAATAACGAGTCATGTATATATTCTCTCTATTTGTTTCTCATGCATGACAACATTTGAATGTGTGTCGAAACGTCGCCCTTCACAGATTTGTATATCCATAAAAATTGTCATCATTCTTCATCAACTCAACTTCTAAAATGCCCATGAAAGAAGTTTGAAATTGAGTGATCAGTGGCAGTGTTCAGACTTCCAGATAGACTTCAACAGCGCTCTGATATGGCCAAACACCTTTCAGCTATCACAAGTCTACTGTCCCCATAGGCAAACTTTCAGTTTGTTTCCATCAGAGATGTGCTACCCATTGACAGACAAGAAAATCACTGAAAACAAATGGCCTCACATTCAAGTCTGTACTCGACTCACACTCACCTGATGGCGATATTCAAAATTTGAACTTTGTGTGGAAGGAGCCAGTAGACATTTCTGAGAATAAATCTGAAACAAAGACTGCCAAATACGAAAACTTGTGTCACATTACCATGCAAGAGCCATGCGCCGACTTTCTGCAGAAAACATCAGTTTGGTTGCCAACATGAAACCAGTATATGTGAAGGAAATCTAGTGGTTAAAGCGTTGGCTTGGTCAAAGACCCGGGTTCGATTCCCCACTTGGGTACAATGTGTGACACCCATTTCTGTCGTCCCCCGCCGTGATATTGCCGGAATATTGCTAACAGCGACGTAAAACCATACTCACTCACTCTTCTGACAATTGATAGTCGTGCAAAACTTATGATTGAGCTAAAAGATTCAAAACTGTTAGATCACTTGTGAGATCATAATCCAGGTCGTCGTTATTTGATGAAGTCGGGAACGATTTGAGCAATGTTGTAGAGACAGCTGTTTATAAACGAAGACATGAATTGGTCACCTACCTGGCAAAGGCTATGTCCGTCTCACATTTGCTGAATGAAGTAAAGAAAGACTTCCTACACTGTAAAAACAAGTGTTATTGAATTAACACTATTATTAACACTATCTTGGTAACAGTAAATTAACATGTTAAAGTGTTAATACTGTTTAACACTAGTGTTAATTTAAAAACATGTTAAAGTGTTTACAAGATTAACACATTAACATGTTTATTTGATAACGCTTGCTGGTAACACTTTTTTCACACATTAACATGTTTATAAGGATGTAAGTGTTAATAATTTAACACATTTGTAAAGTAACAAAGAAATGTGATCCACAAATTACTTCGTTGAGAAAGTTGGGCTGAAATGTATATCCAAGTATTAACTTTCATCAATGGTTAACTCTAGAATAATTCCTGTTGTCTTCAGATATTGTGACATGCAGTTCCGCTATTGTTGAAAACCCTGAAACTTGATTAATCTCCTTGATATTACACTGAATGTGATAATTTCCCAAATAAAAAAAGACATGGTGACAAAAGATTTATCTTCACATTCATTATGGTGTAATCAATATGAAAGCAAAAAGGACTTAGTACAGTTTCAGGGTTCGATATAATACAACTAATAGTAATCAACTAAATAAATTACAGCAGCAAAGACAATTTCAATTGAATTTATTCATCAGATAAAAAATCAAATCCTCATCAAAATTGAGCAAACTGTTACATTCAATGCACATAGGCAGATAGAGGAGTCCACAGAATCCTTCACAATACTGCATATTTATTTAGGGCACATGCAAAAATAACCGGTAATACTGTTAATCCTTTAGTCTTAAGGAACAGAATGGTGAACGTTTGACAGAATTTTAACAGAACATGGATAATGGCATGTATTTTGAGGATAACCATTCCTTCTACGGTTGGGACGGTATCAAAATGGTATGCATATATACATTAATTAATGCAAAGATACTGATACATTGCAATACATATTGCAACTATCAGACAATGAACAATATAAGGGCAACACTGTCAACACATATAAACAATATTGCTGTTTGTAACCTAAAGTAGCTGCACAGTGTACGCATCACCTTCAGAAATATACAATGGTGCTTTCATTTTTTTGAGAATATGGGATCAAAATTGGCACTAGTCCTATAGCCCAGTCAAATTGTCAAATAATACAGGTAGCCCAAGAACTAGTGAAACTACTGCTTTGTTTAAAGCCATCGTTATACATTACAAGGTAGACAGTGCCAAATAAAGTTGAGTTTTTAAACTCTGATAAAGCTTGAAATTAAACTATTCTCTTTCTCCAAGAATTAGAGCATAAACATGTTCAATCTTTATGGTCATATGAGGAAACATGTTCCAAGGCAGATCATCAGTAATTCTTCAAAACTGCATTTTTAGAATAGTATCAAAAAACAGTATTTTCCCCCCACTCATGAAAATAAAATAAAATGTGAAAAATAAATTTTAGAGGTTTTTGACTATTTTATGCATTAAACAGGTATAAAAGTAAACAATAGAAGCAACATAGTTCTACATTCAAATAATATCACTAAATTAATGGTCCACTAATGATGGTTATCAAAATCACCTTGGTGAAGAAATAAAAAAATGAGTACCAAACATATTTGTTGGCACAACAATAGGATAATCAGTACTTTGTCATAGGCAAAGTACTTCCCTGAATTATCAGGTATTGTCTAAGGTAGGCAAAGCAATGAAGCGTGCTATTCCTTAGACAATGAGGGATTATGGGGGACATCTCCTAATCTTAGGTGAGCGAAATTCAGAAATTCCTAAAGTGAGCGAGAGTTCAAATCGGACAATTGTAATCTTGTCCTGAGAGAACCAAAGTTTACTTTTTGATTGCAGGGTAATATAATGGATTAAACTTAAAACAACTCCCTATGGGGTATATATAAGATCATTACATATTTGATCACCATGTCACAATGGAACAATGTTCAAGATAATGTTTATTGAGAACAGACGAGGTGGTCGAAATTTAGTTCAATTTGGCACAATAAATGAAATTCAATTCTTTTGAACAGGAAGAACACTTCTGTTTGGCCTAACAGAATGAACAATAGGTAGTATGAATGGTCTTTGAAAAATTTTTGGCTTTCATAATTTGTATAATAATCTTCTCTTTAGAATATCAGCAGTTTTAATAAATTTGAAATTGACAATATCATTGTAATGAAAACTAAAGGAAGAATCAGTCTGTTTCCTTTTACAAAGGTCTTCTTGGAATGTTCCCTGGTATAACTGACTTTTTTACCTTTTGTTTTAACATATTATTAGAGAAATATCTACTACCGACAAGATTTTTTGAAAGTTCAAAGCTTGATTCGGAAACATTCTAATATCTCAGTGTTTATCTTTGGATCTTGTCAGTTCATCACTGAACTTTATCCAATTGGATGTCCTTGATCCAGTAAATATGTCAGATACAACCCAGTGCTGTAGCAGACCAAGAACCTGGCAATATGCAGGGGGGGGTACTCCAAATCAAAAACATAGTAGCTCCCAAGGAGACTGATCACTGCATCAAACAATGACTGTGTTTGAAGGAAAATCTTTACATTGTCTCCTACAATGAATTGGCATAGGATGTGTTTTGAGCTGTCAAGGAAGACCACAAGATGAGGAGCCTCTTCCACTTGGCAGTGCAGATGTTTTTGAGGAACTGTTTCCACACTCTTCACATCCTGTTAACATAAAATAACATTTGTTAGGGCTGAATATTGTCAGTTTACAATTTAATCTCACAACAGCATTAAGTAAATGAAACATCTGTTCATAAATATACTGCTATTTGCAAATATAAAATATCTTAAATATATCTTTATCATAAAGGTATCACCTGTCCTTGCAGTCTAATGCATTTCCATTTGTCATAAAGCTGATCACAAGCACTTACTTCAGGACTGAAGTAAACCAGTTTTCAAGTGTAACAATACTTACAGTAGTACATCATTTTTAAATAATCTTACATTGACTATGGTAATGCAGGTCTTTGACTTCAAACCCTTGCCCTTTTGCTTGGAAACAAGCTTCTCCAAATCCCGGAACAGTTGGATGCTTTTTTCAGCATCAGTGCCCTGAAAATTTGAAACAATAATTATTGAAATAAAACTTTCCAATTACATGTTAACCCAGTTTGAAACAATAACCATATCAAATCAATATTAATTAACATATTAAGGTATCATAGAGGGTTAGTGAAATTAGTCAAGTATTTTGATGGTTCATCATATCTAATTAGAAACATGATATTAAATAATATAACCCATATGACAAGCAACTTGTAACAAGAAATTGAAAAAAATATACATCTGGACTTTTTTGGAGCCATTAATACATGCCTCAGGTGCAGTTTTCTTAGATGCGACAGTCTGCATTATCCATTCCATATTCCTGGCAATTTCTTCCCTCGCTTCCTCTGGATCATCACTGCGTTGGAAAAAGAATTCATACACCAACAGAAACAGTATGTTAGAATGTATTTAATGATTAAGAGGCACAAAGACATGCAACAGGGCTTGCCTGCTTGTTCAATATAAGATTAACACTAGAACAACAATGACCATAAATCAACTAATGTGATAACACTGTTCAAGTACTTTTGTATACCTGTAATGTCCGTATACAATAAATAGGGTTTAAGGACACATGAAGATTTCCAAGGCAGTACTTTAGGGAAACTAAATTTGAAACAAAAATTTGCTGTTTAATAAGTTTCAATGATTTATACTTACAAAGCATACTTCCTCAAAACAAGGGAACTTTTGTAAAATGGGCTCAATCTTCCCGGTCTTCAAGGTGGTTTGCCACTCTTTGCGGAATTGTCTTGTCTGTTTTAGTAGAGTTCGCAGATGAGTAATTGATTGCTTTCCTTCCCATTCCTTCTTTATTTCATCAAGATGGGATGCAAAATCTTTCTCTGATGTCACACCTGATGATTTATTAGCCATCTTGAACAACTTCTGAGGTTGTGCATCTTCAGAATCCTTAGGCGCAGGTCTCGTTGATTTGGCATTGTTTTGAAATCTATTGGTGCGGCATCGCTGACTCAATTTTGACACAAAAAAGCTCTGAAAAGACACAATAGGCGAGTTTGTAAAAACATTCGATTAGAAGGAAGGAGTGTGTTTCTTGGTTATAGAAAACAGATAATATCGACTTTACCTTTATACGAATTCACAAATTGGGGGGTATTGAGTCTCATGCATTTATTTAAGAAAAGAACATTCAGACAAGAGTGCTTTTAAATCACAAACTCTTACTGAAATCTAACAGAAGTGTACCTAATTCTAAATCATATGCAGTTCAACCAAAAACATTATCTGAAAATAATAACTCTGTGATAAAACAAAAAGAATCACACAATATCAAGTTCTGTCAAGAGCCATAAATGTTGAAATTGGTAAAAGTCGAATACTTGGGATATGTGAACTATCAGTATGTATGCACTTTGACACTACATCACTGAATAAGAGATAAAAACAGAAACCAACTCAAACTTACCCAAGGTGTCTTGTCATGTGCATAGGCCAATGAAGGATATTTTGCCACCATCCTCCTGCCGATTGATTGATAGTATGGTGAAGATGACATCGATGGATAAACAGTTGTGTAAAACGTTTCACACTGCTTCAATACAGAGTTAAAAATCTGGCTGCTCCTTTCACCTGCTTGAAGGGCTGCAATCGTAGTAGGTGCAAGATCAGGAAGGGGGATCCTGTCTGGTGTTGGCAGCGCAGACAGTAGACTGTGGCTTGAGAGATCTGCTGAAACAAAATGAAAGTATCATGTTAGTTAATGTGGAAGTAAGTGGGAACCTGAAGACCACATTTAGGTTAGGTCAGAACCATAGTGGAAATGTAATGATGTTCAAATGTATTTATTTCTCTCATCTTATTGTTGGTAGATCATAATTCCAGAAAGTCATACAGGTTAATTTCTCGGTTCCTGTCAAGAATATTGAATTACATTTTCCCAGTGAACAATATACCCGATTTAAATCTACAATGATACATAAAATATTAGAGTTGAAATACTCGCCTGAAATTCCAAGTAGGATAAGTTCATAACATTGTTTTGTTTACCTGACTGGGAGTTGCTTGTTCCCGTCACTGCCGGTACTTGTGTCTTCACTTCTGGATCCTGAATGCCATCTCTCTGATCACAGGTTGAAGCAGCAACAGGACCAACAAGTTCCCTTATGCTAGCTTTGGTCCAACTTTCTTCAACTGTCAGGACAATGAGTGTTTTTGACATGACTTCTCGGAGTACCTCATCATCATCTATTTCTGTTCCATCATCTTCAAGGACAAACTTCTCCACAACAACTTCCAGCTTAACAGAAACTGAAAAGTCAAAACACATTCAAACAAACCAATACAATGAATGAACAAGGCCATATTAATATTCAACACCAGAAACCATTGACAAAATGAAAACTATTACTATAACTATCAGATAGTTTGTATAGTTCAGTTAACTGATGTTGAACAAATATTTAGAAAAAATAAATATTTAGGAATTTTAGCAATTAAATTTATCTACTAGGAATTGTGTTCATCAAAATGCATGATCATAGTTTGAACTTTCACATAATATATAAAACATTTTCATAAAAAGTAGCATCACCACAGTAATGCCATTAAAATGTAAAAGTGTTAGGGATTATTGACCTTTTTCCTTCAATTCATTTATGGTGACAGTCTCAGGTACCACAACACACTTCTTCTTCAGTCTGAGAATCCCATACTCTCAGCAAAGGCATTGTCTATCAACAGTATTTTGAAATATATTCATTACACCAACTCACACAGCCATGTAGTAACCATGCATAAAATAAAATACTCAACTCGTTACTGGCAATATCAATGAATAATGCACCAAAATTCAGAATTAAATGAACTGACACATTGCCTTCTAACAATGTCAAAAAATTTTATAGAACATCTAATCATAACATCCCAAAAAGAACTGTCTTAAAATATTTGCCCTAAACATTTACAGAAAGTGTCGGGTGACTGCCCTCTTGTAACGCCAACACCAGCACTTTAATTCTAAACATGCAGAT